CCCCAAAACCCCAAAACCCCTTGCGATTGTTTAAAAAAATGAATCAGTGTTCTTTAATCAATCAATTCTATCATTATATAGATATACATACACATATCTAAAATTAAAAATATAATCTTCCAATGAGATAATAAATTAGATATACCTTACCGCGACTGAGCTTAGTCGCATTAATGTTGGCTTCTTAATAATTGAATTCCGTTTATGCTTATGCCTGCAAAGAAAAAATTATCGTCATTGGAGCTGGTGTTTCAGGACTGGCTGCTGCCAAGAAATTACATGATGAAGGGTGTGATGTCACTGTGCTTGAAGGCAGAGATAGACTCGGAGGTAGAATATTTACCTCGTAGGTCGGAGATCTCACAATTGATATGGGAGCTTCTTGGATTCACGGTATCGGTAAAGGTGCTGATGGTCTCAAAGAATGGGAAAATAAATATAATCCATTGTACCAGGTAACTCTTGATAACAAAATCACAACTTTGGCGACATGGCAGGATGAAGGAGATACTGAATCCTTGTATTTCTGGTACAAGGGAGGTGAAACCACTTATGATGTTGGTACTGTCTTTAAGAATTTTGAGAACAGCCTCGAGGATTTATAAGAAGAAGCAGACATTAACACATCTCTTAAGGATTTGTACTCAAAGTACGACCTAACTAAAAAGACTTCTAAAGGTGATGCTAAGGTAGACTAAAATATCAAAGACTATACTTTAGCTTACTTCTATGGATTCGAATACGCAGCTGATGCTGATTAACTATCCGGAAAGTATATTGACAATGACTCCTATTTCTTCGGTCCAGAGCATATCTTCCCAGATGGTTACATCTAGATTCCTAAGGCTCTAGCCAAGAATCTGAATGTCATTCTCAACTAGAAGGTTACTAAAATTGACTACTCAAAAGATTCGGTCAATGTTATCACAGAAAATGGCAAAGTTTACGAAGCTGACAGAGTTGTTGTGACCGTACCTCTTGCTATCTTGAAAAGTAATATGATTACCTTTACCCCTCAACTACCTAAGTCTAAACAAGACTCAATTGAAAAGATGGGAGCTGGCTTGATGGACAAGTTATACTTGGAATTCGAAGATGTATTCTGGGATGAGGAGGCTGACTGGCTTGACTATATCTCAGATGGAAATGTAAAATGGGGAATTACTCTTAACTATTATAAATATACAAAGAAACCAGTTCTACTTATGTTCAATATTGGAAAAGATGCTAGAGAATTTGCAGAAATGTCAGATGAAGATGTTATTAAATAAGCTATGGAAACTCTCAGAACTATGTACCCTAAAGCTACTGATTATGTAGCATACAAAAGATCTAATTGGAGCCATGATGAATTCGCAAGATAGGCATATTCCTTCGTCAAGATCGGTGCTACTAAGAAGGATCCACTTAATATTGCTTCAGATATTGATAAGAAGATTTATTTTGCTGGTGAACATACTAATTTCAATTTCTTAGGAAGTGCTCATGGAGCATACATATCAGGTACTGATGCTGCCTCTAAGATTATTGAGGATTACAATAGCAATTTTGAACAATCACTTGTTTCAAACTTCATGTACCTCAGATTTGCTTTTTGATAGCAATTATCATTTAAGATTCTTCAACTATATAATTTCTGATTATTTATTTCAGATTCTTTTAACAAGGTAATATCCTAGTTTTGAGGGGTTTTGGTGCAGTCCTAGAAAGCACCCTGGTAGTTCGACT